CACCTGATCAGGGCCGGGCCCCGGGCTGGGATGGGGAACTGGGGTGGGTGGCAGTGACCAATTTCCCATGGTGCCTGAGTGAGGGGTTGTGACATCTCACCGGCTACCTGGGGGCAGGGTTTACAGGGACGGAGGTGCGGTGAGAAAGCAGGGTGTCTGCCCAACTCTTACTTTCCCAACTACCCTCCCCCAGAACGCCAGGGCTCGTGCGCCAGGGTAATCCCCACGCTCAGGTACCGGGCGCCTACAAAGAGCCTGCCCTGCACCCGCGTGGCCTCTTCTGGGTGAGCTGGGCTGCAGCCGCTGGGAACAGTTGGGCTCGCTGTGGACTCGTGCAGAAGCCGGTCTGCGAGGCAAACCGGGAGAGAGTGTGCTGCCCACCCGGCTTCCGTGCAGCACTGCTAGGTGGCCCAGAGGCCCACACTACTCCCTGGCTCGCGGAGTCCGGCCGCACTCACCACATCTCCACGTGGGGACTCAGGCGCCGTGACTCAGGCGGAGGGGGGCATGCAGGGGTCTGGAAGCCCAGGTGCTGCCCAGGGCCCAGAGGTCAGCTGGGACCTGCCCTTCCATGCCAGATGCTCGCACTTCAATCACCAGCCAGGCCTAGGGACCGCACCCATGCACAAATTTCATGCACTGGGCCTCTAGTTGTTTCATAATGGTCTATGATCCTACTGTCAAGTATCCAAAACTTTTGATATTTGGGGAAAAACTGAAAAATCAAATTCTAAATTAAGTTTTTTTTACTTTGAACTTGGAACATATCAAAGGATCCCTAGAACATCTCAGATTACTCTCTCCTTGAAAAAATAAAAAAAGATACTAATTAGGCTTTTGTTGTATAACATGGGCAGAATTGGCACATAAAAGCAAAAATATTTTGTTATATTTGTAGGGAAACATGTTATTAATGTGTTCCAGAAATTGTATGAAGTTCCTGGAAATCTGGTATGTCCTAGTATAATGTTATCACTTGTAACTCTAGGTATTTTCGTAAAATGTATGTCACAGAAACAACCAAATGTCCTCAGCTCTTTATGACCATTTTTAAATCTTTTGCCATCTATAGAAAGTATTGTTTTGCTTTTGCAAAAGTGTTGCTTCTTCAGGGAGATTCATGGAAAGGACTCTGAAAAGTACAGGTTTCTGATAACTTTCAGATCATACCACTGAACTGGGTAAGAATTAACCAAGAAAATTCTAAGGAAAAAGTGGATTCATAAAACTTGTCATAAAATATCAAGATCAACACGAATTTATTATCTAGGACTGAATGAAAGAATAAGGATGACTATAATTTTTATAACTTTAAATGTTTTGTTTTTCCAGATTTAAGGAAACTTTCCTTTTCTCCTAAACTATCTATGACTTACAGCAATTTGGTACGTACACCTTTGTGAACAAGATGAAACAATTACTCATTTCCCTACCTGATTCCCCCAGAATTTGGAAATTCTGAGTATGTATTCTTGTTTTCATGAACACATAGTTTTTTTGCGCAAGTTCAACAAGAATCTGTTCTCCTTGTAAAAGGACACAATTGGAAACATTGTTTTTAGTACCAAGACTTTGACTAGAACGTCACATTTGAAAATGTGCAAAGAATCATGCATGACCAGGCAGTTTGAGGAGTTTCAATAAAGCCCGTTGGAAAAGCTTCCTGGCATCTTGCTTATAGGGCTCCTGTCAGCCTTATCGGGTAAGAAAGGATGGTCACTTCCTAGCAGGTGCAGGAGCATCAGGATATATTGGGGACCTTGATAAGAGAGGAAATAGCCCAGACATAGTATAGGTTATTGCAGGCGAAGTTTGAGGCTAAGACCTTGGCTTGGCTTCCTGGCCTTGAGAGGATTTTAAAAAGTCCTATCTGAGATTCCTTATGAAAAGTTCCAGCAAAGCAGATTTTTATTTTATTTTTTTTAAATTTCTTTATTGGTTAAGGTATTACAAATGTGTCCTCATTTCCCATTAACCCCCAACCTCCTCGTCCCCTGTCCCCCCACACTCATGCTCTCATCCCCCTGTTGTCCATGTCCATTGATTTGGCTTATATGCATGCATACAAGTCCTTTGGTTGATCTCTCCCCCTTACCCCCTTCCTCCCCCACTTTCCCTTTGGGGATTGATAGTCTGATCGCTGTTTCTCTGTCTTTGGATCTGTCCCTGTTCATCA